TGTAAGTTCATTATAAATTATGTAATTATAAATCATTAATTTAAAATTTAAAATTAAATATAAATAGTATCTTACAAAAATTAACCGTACATTGTATGATAAACGAATATGATTAGGGGATTCCGAATCCATGCGAAAAGGATCCGCCATTTTATTTACCCTCCTTCCCATATTTTTCACCCCAAAAAACAAGAACCGCCCTAAAATTCAGAAAACGACTGGGATATGGACAATCCCAAGATAGTTTTTCAAATTAATTTTCACATTTTTCGATGGACCCTACGTATGCGGTGGGACCGGGACCCACATTCCCTCAAAATAATCAGTGCAACCGGAGCGGAAAGAGAAGTCAGTGTTTTGTTTGTTAGCTCGCCATCAATCCTCTTCTCGCTTTCTCCTCTCTCTCGCCATCGCAGCACCTCCAAAGGTTTCTAGGGTTTGTAGCGCCCCATTTTCTCAGAGTTGTACTTTACTCGCCGAATCTTGCCCCATTGCGTCCGTTGAGGAAGCTTGATCAGGTATTGTTCTTCGCGTTTCTCCGATCTGGGTTTGCTTTTGAGCGTGTTCGTATCTCGAGATTTGAGCTTCGGGGGCTCAAAAGAAGCTTGGCATTTTCATTTTATTTTACTTTTTCTTGAATTATGTTTTAGTTTTTTGGATTTGTTTTTTATTGAGTTTGATTTGTATGGTGGGATAAATTTGTCGGTGAATTTTTTTTCTTGGTGATGTGCAAAAAATGATTAAACTTTAGCTCGAAGAGAATTGAAAGATGGAAACTTGGTGTAGATTTCATGTAGTTTAATGATTTGTTTGTTTAAGTAGAGGAAAATGAAATTAGGGGAAAAAAATGCATCATTTGCATTCCATTAAATTGATTGGAAATCTGTTTCGTGTCGGTTCTATGGTCGAAAGATATGACTTTTGTGTGATGGTGAAAGTTTGCTTTGACTAAGCTCATGGGGTTTAGCCCAAGTGGCGAGGGCGGGTGGGGAAATGGATTTAGGATTAGGCTAGGTCAAATGTTTGATTCCGTTCCATTGTAACCAAGTAACGAAAATGATGATTTGACCAAGCTCTTGGGGTTAGCCCGGGTGGTGAGCACGGGCAGGGAAATGGATTTAGGATTAGTCTAGGTCAGGCGTCCGATTCCTTTTCATCTTGGAGTTTTTTCAAGTTTCGAATTGGTGTAGTGTCGCAATGTTGTGTTGGTTTGAAATTTGAAATCTTTTCAAGAAGTCCTATTGCGTGTCACTGAGTTGCTTACTCTACATCTGCTGTTTGGTGACTGATGTTCTTCATACTTCTGTTGATATTTCAGGGAACGGATTTTATCTTTTTCAAAGTGAAAAGACATATAGCTTGATGTGGGCAGTTTAGTTTATACGGGCACAGAACAGTTTTACTCACAGCTCGTGACTTGTCGGAATCTTTACCTGAAAGGCTCCTCAAGGAACTGATCATTGTAAAGTTGCAGGACTAAGCTCTTCCACGTTTTGGTACTTCATTTGGATTACGCGACCAGACTGAGTAACCCTAGAAATGGGTTCATTCGCCGGTACATCTGAAATTGTGGAAGCGAAAGATGAGCTGACTACAAGTCAATATTTTCACGGAATACATCAGCTGAATTCTGGATTTGGTAAAGATGACAAAGATTGGAAGCTTCCTCCTGTTCTAAAACTGGGATACAAGGATTCTCTAGAAGATGATATTAATAAGCTCTTCGAGGCAATCAAAACTCCATCCAAGGGTTCAGATCATTCAAAGCAAGTAGGCACTAGCCCTTTAAATAGAAGTGCCTTAAAGAAACCAATTACAGTGGGTGTGTCTCGCTCACCAGGGATTGGTAATTCAGAACCGGCGACACTGAAGCAGGCGTTAAGAGAGCTCTCTATTACCAAGGCATCAGAAATGGCTGCTATGAAACGATTATCAAAATTGACAAGTCCTGCAAGACCCTCGGAAGCTGGGAGGATCAAGACGTTATACAATGCAGTTGTTGTTCAATCCAGTCAATCTGGTGCCTCCTCAAGTGAAGATAGGGGAAATATGGTTGAAATCTCTCTGGTGCCAGAAGAAAGCATTTCAAATTCTTGTGAGGAGTTGTCTCAGCATCCTCAAATATCCAAGATGAAGTCATCAAGCCAGAGTGGACATTCTTCTCCTCGATTTGCCATTGGGAAAACAGAAAACAACTCTGGGAGCACAATAGTGCAAAATGAAAGTACTTCCAGTTGCAAGTTAAGGACAGTAGGGGAGCAAACAGTGAAGGCGGAACTGGGACAGAAGAAGAAAAATAAATCTAAAAGTGATCATATTTCAGGACTTGCTGAAAATGTTCCTTCCAGAACCATGTTACAGACAAAAACTAAGACGGAGCTGGTGAAGAAAGAGAAACTTAAATCTACAAGTGGCAATACATCAGTACTTGTTCAAAATGTTCCTGCCAAAACCAAGTTAGCTAATAAGCTATCAGCAGCAAAACCAGGGCGGAAAGTCAAATTGCATGTAGTACCTTCTTCATCGAGTTCGGTGAATCGAAATCCGGCAAGCAAAGTATCCAGAAATGCCCTCCGCTCTGTAAAAGCAGCCAGCAGGAATAGGAACATCGTAAAGAAGAAGACAAGGCAAGAGTCAAGTTCTGCGGCCTGCAACTCTAGTAATTATAATGAAGTTGATGCTGATTTTGATCCTTGTACAAGTCAGCTGGTCTGCGAGAGATGTCAATGTGCAATACAAGGAGCTGGACAACAATCCAATCAAGGTTCTTTGGCACCCCAGTTTAACGGTCTTACTGCTGAGGTAAACTCAAATAATGGGCAAAGCATTCCAGGTAAAGCAGGCTTCACCTTCGACAGCAGTAATACTGGCAATAAAGGGGGAGATGACATTATGAAAGCAAAAAAGAACCCCAAATCAAAAGAAAAAGGGGAATTCTCCCAAAGCTCAAAAAGTAGCGAAGGTGATCATAGTAGTAGTACGAGTTTGAGTGACGAGAGCAATGCCAGTGGATCTAGTTGCAGCAATAAGCCTCACATGTCGAAGGATGTGAGATGGGAGGCCATCCGTCATGTTCGGTTGCAGCATGGATCCCTGGGCTTGAGACACTTCAATCTTTTGAAGAAGCTTGGTTGTGGAGACATAGGAACCGTATATCTTGCTGAGCTCATTAGTACGAATTGCCTTTTTGCCATAAAGGTAATGGACAATGAGTTCTTGGCTAGAAGGAAGAAGATGCCTAGGGCGCAGACCGAAAGCGAAATACTGAGGATGCTTGATCATCCTTTTCTCCCTACACTGTATACCCAATTTACATCAGATAATTTGTCATGCTTAGTTATGGAGTATTGCCCAGGTGGAGATCTTCATGTCCTCCGGCAGAAGCAAATTGGAAGGTGTTTTTCTGAAGACGCAACAAGGTAGAAATATTTGAATTAACACCTATATCGGACTTTTACATTTTGTTTTGGATGCTATTTGACATTATCTGCAGTCAAGCATTAGTTACAAGATAATTGTCTAAGAAAATAAAAATATACACCTTTGTAACCTCCACCTACACCAAGACTCACCACCCCAACTGCATAAATTTTATTTAATATGTTTTCCCAGTCAGCTATCACCGTAAGGGATGCCTTCTCTTCTCTGAGAGAAATTGCTACATGACATCTTGAATTGTTTTTTGTCCTTAATTTTATGGTTCATCTCTAAAGAGCTTCACTTCATTATATAATTCAGTGGAGTAACTGACCATTAGATTCATGTCCTCTGATCTAGTACTTTTTCGTGTATTAAATAGGTGCTGGAATTTTACCATTTCAAAAATAATTTAAACCTTTGTGCTTTCAGGTTCTATGTTGCGGAAGTTCTCCTTGCTTTGGAGTATTTACACATGCTTGGGGTAGTTTATCGGGATTTGAAACCAGAAAACATTCTAGTCCGGGAAGATGGTCACATCATGCTCACAGATTTTGACCTGTCTCTCAGGTGCACTGTCAGTCCAACTCTATTGAAATCACCTTCATGCGATGGTGATCGTGCAAGATTGTCTGGTCCATGTACACAATCTAGCTGCGCTGAGCCGTTCTGCATTGAACCCTCCTGTCAAGTCTCATGCTTCACCCCTAGGTTTTTACCGGCTGCTACAAAAACAAAGAAGTCCAAAAATGACCCTGCATCCCATGTTAGATCATTGCCGCAGCTTGTGGCAGAGCCTACTGATGCGCGGTCCAATTCCTTTGTCGGGACCCATGAGTACTTGGCTCCGGAGATCATCAAAGGAGAGGGTCATGGAGCTGCAGTTGATTGGTGGACGTTCGGAATCTTCCTTTACGAGCTTCTATATGGCAGAACACCGTTCAAGGGTATTAACAACGAGGAAACGTTGGCCAATGTGGTGTTGCAGAGCCTAAGGTTCCCAGAGGGCCCCCTTGTTAGTTTCCAGGCTCGAGATCTCATCAGAGGTCTGTTGGTAAAGGAGCCAGAGAATCGGTTGGGATCAGAGAAAGGGGCCGGTGAGATCAAGCAGCATCCGTTCTTTGAGGGCCTGAATTGGGCACTGATACGCTGCGCCATTCCGCCAGAACTGCCCGAGTTTTGTGATTTTGAAATTCCCGACATGCCTGCTGCTCAGGAGAATACCAAGTATTTGGAGTTAACAGCGACGGGAGAGCACCTAGAGTTTGAGTTATTTTAGAGGGAAATCACAGTTTTAGGAGAAGAAGCTTTCTGCTTGTGTATGTATTATTCTCTCTTGAAAGACCTCCTCCTTTCCGATATGTAACTCATAAATCTAGCTTATGTATATACTTTTTTAAACTTACAGTAATGGCGCATATATCAGATTCCGAAATTTTGTACATTTTGGAATATCGATGGTTCGATGGTGTATCACCGCGAGGATGGTCCGCGCATGACGGCTGCTAGCAACAGTCGTCCATGCGCAAAAGTTTGTCATTTTAATACGGTTTTCTACTAGAAAGGCAGCGTCTTCATCCGACCAACCAAGTGAACCCCGAATAAAATCTCAGTTTAACGAAACACAAATCATTTGTCGAATTGCAATTCTTCCCCTTCGTTCCTTCAGTGGAAGAAGCTACCATTTGGTCGCTAAAGGTGTTCGAAACTGGGTGGCCGAATAGCTCACCGAAATTATAAAAACATTTTGATGACATCTGCCGAAAATCTACAATCATTCGTTCCTTCAGTGTTTGCCGAACGAGTGTGACTAGAAGCTACCTTCATTACAGAAAGGATACTGCTTCCATTTTCTACAGAGAGAGAGAGAGAGATCACTAAAGCTTTTCGGCATCGGAAAACCAGAGAGCATGGCTTCGACCTCCGACGACGACTTCATCACCGTCGTATGCACAAACCCCAGTCCAATCCAACCAAACACCACCCCGGATAAAGAAGTTCTAATTTCTGTCGAGAATATCCTATCCTGGGATTTGCCAGCCATTCTCCGTCACCAAACAGTCAGAGTTCAAGCACATCGGAACAGGTGCTGCCTGGCTTCTCATTTTCTCACTCATTTTCCGTTTGTTTCCCCAGAAAATTAAATGCGGCAAAATTAATTTTAATTTTGAGTTTGAATTCCATCTGTGCTTGCAGGCTAATCCAACACTCTTCGTACTTCCATGGACTCCTAAGCGGCAGCTTTAGGTAATCGATTTCCTTATTCCGAAAACTGAATCCGAGCTTAGAACTTTGACTGTAAATTTTGATTTTTGATTTTTAATTAAAAAGCTCTTTAATTGCTTGAATTTGATTGCTTCCGGTTAAAAAATTTGAACTTTTTTGTAGCGAATCGGGCCGGGAATGTATAGAAATTGAGTGGAACCTGGAAATATTTCTAAGCATTCTCAATTGTTTATATGACTCCCCATTGGGATTGGAAGTTACATCTGATAATTTCCTCCTTCTTTTTGAGGTAAATAAATTTAACTTTTTACTATGTGCTAGTTTTGATCCAATGGTGTTCTTATCTTTTATTCATTTGGTTATTTGTTTTTGCTTGATCTTAAAATTGTTCATACCATTCGACATTGTTGAAGAAAAACTGCATTTCATGACTTGAAGGTTGAATGTTTATTATTTCCACCTTTCAAATCACATCCAGTGTTTTGTGAAGTTAATATTATTCTTTTGAAAATATTGCGTTGCGTTTGCATTGCAGGGTGCACTCTATTTTGGAGTGGAGATGCTTCTCGTGAGATGTAAAACTTGGTTTTCTGAGGTAGTGTCGGCGGAGGTACAACCACAAATACAATTGGATGATTTGATTTCTATTTGGAGCTTCGGTGTAGAGCACGGTGAGAATGATTTGAACATGAAAATTTAATTTTTTGAAAAACTCATGTTCGAATTTAGCATTGTTATGTTCTCCAGTCTAATGGATGAAATGGAATACATTGCAGCCCTTGATTTTCTTCCAGAATTGTGTGCGAGCTATCTTGCCAGAAATTTTGTATGTTCTCAACTTATATTGAACTTCTGTGCACAATCATTATGTTTTGAAAAGCGTTGTGCTATGCACACACACCCTTTTTACTTCCCACACACCCTTGTTAATGTTTGTCCATTGATCTTCTTCAATTCATACGATCTGACGTTCGAAAATTGAGAAGGTGTGTTAGAAGTAAAAAAGGGTGTGTGGATAGCACAACCCTTTGAAAATTCAATCATGCTTCAGTATTAACTCATAAATCTTTTTGGAATGGATTTTTTACTGAAGTGGCTAGTGACGGGTTGTGGATTTATATTGACGTAATGACTGATGAGTAGAAAATTATGGTTAATTGTGAGGTAACATTTCAGTTGAACGATCTCTCTTTAGATTGGTTTGGTTTAGTCTTAATATTCATCGTACAGGGTCTAAAATAAAAGAGAGGGTTCTGTTTGAGATGGCTATGATATGAGGAGGATATAAGAGTTGAAGGAAGCCCAAAGGGGAGATGGGGAGAGACAAAGAGAATTAATATGATTACTGAAAACACCAGGACGTTGATCTAATAGTCTCCTGTCATCCCGAGCATGTGTCACTTTATTGATGATGTGGTCATGAACTCACGGATATATGGCTACTATTGTTTAATCTGAAAAAGATGTTTTGGTATATTTCTTCACGATCAAGTTGTTGCTAATAGTTGAATGGGAGGAGATTGTTTTCACTTAAGTGGCATCAGATCCTAGTGATTCGTATGTTAAGAGGCTTATGATTTCTGTGTTTTGTGCAATATTTGTTCACTGTGCCCAACCTATTCACTAATTGAAACTGACAGATTATGGTTTGGTTTTCCAGATGTGGGCCATGTGCATGAATTATTTTGTAGATATTCCTTACGACTTATTACTATCTTGTGTAAAGCACATGGATTTGACAGTCGACAGGTTAGTTATCCTTTGAATAGCCTAGCGTAATTTTCTGTTAGACATATTGGCACTCTGATATCTTACTCTTAGTTGTCTTTCACAGCGAGATGTATCTTTCCAATGCACTTTTAGTTTGGCTTGATGCTAACACAGAAAGGATGGATGGCTTGAGCAGAAATGAAGATGTCTGCACTGGCATTTTGAAAGAGGTACAGATCAACAATGTTTCATGTATATGTTGAGGACCAAAATGATATACAGCCTTGGAAGGTGACTTGTTTAACTAGGATCTACTACTGCTGCGAGTTATATCATAAGCAATTATCTTCAACCATGAATGCGACTCCATATCAGTTTTTGAAAAACATCAACATGCGAGGTACAATAAGCTTGACAGCCAATCCATAGCCTGCATAGTTTTAACTGGATAATAGGAAGGAAATGTTGCAACTTTCTGATGAAAGTCACCAAAGAGTGAGTTACCTAATAATCATAACAAATTGCCCCATCGAGCAACTTTTCAGTTTCATTTAAAGGCAGTTTAGCACTAATTGTTACTTGGATGAAACTTTTCCCAATATGCCTCATAATATAATGGGGACAATGCGGCATAATGTTATGTTCACAAGTTTGTGGAAATAGGTACGATAAGGGTAAACTATAGATCTAAAGACAAGAAGGGTAATTACCGCTCTATAATTAGAAATTATTGAACCATGTAGAGGGATTATTTACTTTGTGAGTTGTGACATGCCGTATTATAAAAGTTCATTACTTGTGCTACCAATTGATCCCTCGTATTCTTGAAAATAAATATGTAGGGGATTTTAGCAGTGTTATAATTGTCCTTGATGTAGTTAAGCGTAAATTTTACATCGTTTGTCTCTGTATATTTTCTGTATATTATTTTCTGAAGTTTATATGGTAAGTATAAAACTTAGTAAAATAGTGATTTAGTTCTCCTTAGTCATTCAGTAGCATTAAATCTGAATTTTCTGAGTTTAGGTATTCATAAAGCAGAAACCTGAAATACTACCATTCAGTATTTATCTGCCAAAATCTTTAGTAAACTGCAATCTTTGTGTTAAATCATCTATTGGTTGCTGTTGAACAGATCCGTGTACGCCTTTTGCCATTGTGGTTTGCTGCAGGTATGCTTAATTTTTTGATGTTAGACAAAGGGCACCAATACATACTCATTTTTTTCCTATTCTTACACAAACTGATCGGGTTCTTTTTTCAGAGAAAAGAAGTTCTTGTCATTTTTCTAAGTTTGCTGATCAGAGCATTGATTCAATTTTCAGACTACTGAGAATTCCATCCACTAGCTCAATAGAAGCCTTGGCCGATGGTCACTTGCATGACTTACGTATTCGGCTGACAAAATTTTCTAAGGTATTCCTGTCACTAAGGACCTCAGAACTCCGTTTGGAAAAAGGTTTTATTTTGTTTTTTCAGTTGAGGGTTTATATCTTAGTGGGATAAGGCTTAGTTGTCGGTGTAGTTTGAGGGTTTATATGACTCAAGGTACATCATACATGCAATGAAAGAATAACATTTCAGTGTTTTCTCTGTCCCATCATGTGCATATGCATCATATACATTCTTGAAGGCGGAGGGGGAAAGTAACAAATGGGAGGTTTTTTATTAGGAATTTTATTTTTTCCTCCCAGACCCTGCATAAAGCGGGAGCCTTGTGCACTGGGTACGACGACCTTTTAGGAAGTTTTATGTCCGTTTCCAGTAGATGCTAATCTGTTTTTTTGGAAGTTATACAAGGGTCTATCAGATAAACTTTTCTTAAGGGTTAGAGTTACTGTTCATATGAAGACGGTAGTGCCAACTGCCAAGGTCTTTGCAAAGAGTAATTAAGGGAGGTTATATGGGTGCATCAAGAATCAAGATCCATCCCGTGATAAAGAGACTAAGCAAATTTTGAAATTTATTAGGAAAAAGGAGGGAGATATTTATGTGCATGCTGTCAAACTATTGATATCATAGATTCGTGGTGTATAGTTTCTTAGTATCTGAAACATCAAACATTTGGCGGACAGTTAATGTTCATTAGTATATAACTTGGTCTTTTTCTTTGTGCAGAAAGTAAATCTTTCAAGTTGCCCACAGATGACATCAGTCGTGCTACTTTTTTCTTTGCTTCCTTTTTCAAACAGTATGGAATACACTCTAAGGAGTATTGAACAGTCACCATTTAACCTTAAACATCTTGAACGAGAATCTTCTGCACTACTGAAGTCGTTGCCAACTTTGTCTTTTGAAGTGGTACAAGAGGTGGATATTTCCAAGTGTCCAAGGTTACATCTTGAAACTGCCATTGAATGCTTTTGCAAATCATTTCCATCTTTAAGAACACTGAAGGCAGCTTTTTTATTGAACTTCAAGATAAGCACTTTGCGCAAACTGGTGCTGAAATGCCCCATGGTCTGTGAAATTGACTTGACTATTGACACTACTCCAATTATATCATCACAAGTGTCTGTTGTATCCTCAAGTCCAGATATAACACCTCAAATATCAAATTCGCCCTTAAATTGTCGGGATATGACTTCTTTTTACTCTGGACTATCTCTTGCAAAACTCACATTGGAGGGCCGAAGCGATCTCTATGGTGAGATATTTTTCAATAGTTCCAGATTTTCTATTGATAAAGTCGTTAATGTTTCGTACCTCCAAAAGATAGTTTGGCATACTGATTTCATTGACAGTTGTCTTTGTTAAACTTGTGGACAAAGTTAGTGGAAAAATGCTTACCATTCTATTGCATATAAGACATGAGATCATCGTAAACCCCATAAAGTGGAAATTTTGGCCTTTCTGTGGCATGCTATTGATGAAAGCATATGTACACATTATTAATAATGTTGGGCCAGGGATTTTGAAATGTTCTACTCTGACATTTGAATGCTGCAATGGTGGAAATATTGGATTTCTTTTTTGAAGTATTTTTCCTTGTAATTTAATTAGCCCAGGAAAGGTTCAATATTGTGAATGCGCAGTTGCACACACATGAATCCCATAATGCACGATACTTGTTTTTCCTTTTTATTGGTGGCGCCTGATTTTGCATCAATGTTCACCCCACTAACATTTCCTTTCAACGTTTATGCCAGATTCAGATCTTCAGTACATCTCCAGATTCTGTGTCTGCTTGCAATACCTAAACCTCAAAGGGTGTATTTCATTAACTGATGTTGGCATAGCATGTGTTCTACGCAGATGTATTAAGCTGCACTCCGTTTTAGTATGTGACACCTCCTTCGGGATTAATTCAGTTTTAGCTCTTTGTTCTAGCTCTTCCAATCATATTGCTGGCCAACAAATTGAAAACGAGCAATTGGATTCCCTGGCACATAATCTTCAAACACTTCACATGGGAAGCTGCAAATGTGAGTGTCAATTCCCTTGTTACTTTTGCTTTGGGAGTTTATAAATTCAACTTTGAAGACTTATGTCCATCAACATCCTCATTCTCTACAAGCAGAAACTCTAGGGATTTCATTTTTATTTTTTATTATTTTCATTTTTGAGAATTGAGATACTTGGTATAAGGCACCATTTGTCCATATAGTTCACAGAAAGTGTAGTGTATAGCTTCTCTGTCTTTGACCAGTGCTTCCATATACAAGAAATTAAAAAATAAAACCCGAGAGAAGTAACAATTTCTAACTGGGAAGTCTTTGAGAATTTGCTTGACTAAGATTTAGCTTAACTGTACTTGCTATTGGGTACTTGAGGTTAGTAGTAAGGCATTTCTTTGTCTTTCTGATATTGTCGGTCCTATAATCTGTTATTATATGAAATTCTTTCGCAGCATTGACCGGTTAACAGAATTTCTGTCATTTCTTATATTTACTGATGATTTGAGATGATCTAGGACCTAAAAAGTTTTGAAATGATGGCTGTAACAAATCCAACCTGCGTTAATTTCATTTCCGGGTCTAGATTACGTAAAAATGGACCAAGGAAATGCCTAAAGTTCACTGGATGACACGTATGATGTATGGTCAATCGTTTTTGTTTCTCAGGTGTTGATGAAGCATCTCTTGTAAAGCTTATGTCTCAAATGCAAAAGCTGAAGACTCTTTGCTTAAGTGATACTTACCTTTCTGATGGTGCTCTATATAGTTTCAGAAGTTCTTCCTTGGAGATGCTTGATGTTTCTAATACTGTGGTGAGTCATCAAAGTTAGTGATTATACACACTAACATATGCATGTGATTGTGAGAAATAAGTTAGTTACATGGCTATACTCCCTTAGCGGGTAAGTTAATCCTGCAACTACATCCTAGTATGCTCCTAAGGTTCCTATGCATCTATGAAGTCAATTGGCCTTGCACATAAACCCTTGTGAGTATTAACATAGACAACACACTGTTTCTTGCATAAATCTGGTTTATATAATTGGGGAATCAATGGAAGGAAGCTGATGTAAAACTCTTTGAAAAGTTCAACTTGGTAATGGATATAAGACATCAGGTAAAACCCATCTGTGTTCCTATTATCATGGATGTAACCATGGTAATTATGTGCTTCTAAATTTCAGGTTTCAAAAGCTGCTTTAGCTCATCTCATCAGTGGAAATCCAGGTTTAAAGTGTTTGAAAGCGAGAGGATGCAGGAATTTGTCTCAACAGGAAAGTGAGGCTCAGAAGCGAGCATTTTCTTCCTCCTACTCTTGCAGAGAACTGCATAATGAAATAGGAAGAACTTGCGTACTGGAAGAAATTGCACTTGGATGGGGATTTTCTTACTCCTCTTTGAAAGCTCTGAAACCCGCAGTCACATCACTGAGGAAAATAACTGTGGGCTTAGGTGGATCATTAGGTGAAGATGGACTGAGAAAACTACCAACTATTTCTCCTATGCTAGAGTCAATTATTCTTTATTTTCAGGTAACTTGTTTGTGGATTTTGAGACAATTGTAGACAATACCTGAAACATCCCTTGTGGCTTATGCTGTTATACATGCATTAGCTGTAACATCATCAATACTAAAAGTACTCAGGGACAATTAGTTTTAAATATTGAATTTTGCGAGAGACACTACCCCTATTTGCGTGGTAAGTTCACCTATCAGATAAATTCTTATTGATCAGATCAGCATGAGTTAACTGATGTCTCCTTAGGTATATATTCATGCAGTTTTGGTGATATTAGTTTTGGCGAAAGACACTTCTTTTTCTTCTTTCGGTTTCAAAATATATGTTTCTCTTGCATCAAAACCTACATTTGAATATGAAATATACAGTTATTGTTTGTTTGTACGATGATTTTGATACTTTTACAGGTAATATCTGATGGTGCCATTTTGAGCATTATGGAAAATCTGAAGAACTTGGTAGTTTTTGCTTTGTGTCACTGTCTTGGTGATATATCTATTTTAAGCTTTAAGTTTTCCATGCCAAACCTGAGGACGTTGAAACTTGAGCGGGTGACCCCTTGGATGACCAACAATGATTTGGTTATTCTTACTCAAAGCTGTACAAATCTGGTTGAGCTTTCGCTGCTAGGGTGTACGCTTCTGAATTCAGGTTAGGAGCTATTTGTTTCAAAGGGTATCATTTGAGCTTGCCTTGTATTGACACAGCATGTAGACATTTCCTTAGTCATATCTAATTCATGATTCGATTTCCCAATAACAAGCGCTTCAGTGGGTAACCTGTTCTTGGTTTCTTTCTATTCCATTACAGGAATATCCTTTTGTTGTGTTATCTGTGTGTGAGTGTACCTCTAAAGCAAATTGAAAACAGTAGCTACTCTTTTTGGGGTAATTGATATGCCACTTTAACTTTCTGTTCTCTCTTGTTTGCAGAGTCTCAGCGGATAATTTCGCATGGATGGCCAGGCTTGGTTTCAGTCCATCTTGAGGTTTTTGCCGTTTTCAAGTTCTTCTTGTTTTCTAGCCATGATACTTATATATGTGTCACTGACTGGTTCACTTGACACATAATTATCAGTTCGATCTGTGATTTTAAAATTCTGTTCTTCTTGTGTTTTTGGAGGTCCCCTGCACTACTTTTACCATATTTGTCAGTGCGCCATGTATGTTGACAAATGTGATCGATTTTGATGTTTAGGAGTGTGGACAAGTGACAGCGAAGGGGGTTTCTTCTCTTTTTAGATGTAAAGCTCTTGAAGATCTCTTGCTGCGTCATAATGTGAGATTTGAGCAACTGTTTCTTTTCATCTTGCATTCTCATCTGATAAATATTGTTGTGCCGCTACTACATACACTGCAACTGGAACATCGTATACCTTCCAATAATACTATCACTGTCTGTTTATACAGGGCCCTGGGATACAGAAAAGCTTTATTTTCGACGCTGCTTCAAAGGTAATACCTCAGTTCTTGTATTCAATCAGAGGAATCAAGTTTAACGGTTAATAAGTTAATACAATCGCGTGTCTTTTGTGTTGATTTCAGTTTCCAATGCTTAGGAGAGTATCGTTAGACTTGTGTGATGCCAGTGAAGGTGATTTTGACATTCCGAATGTAAGTTAATCTCTCTCTCTCTCTCTCACGCACGCACGAGCGCATGACCTTTTTCACTCAAGTGTTAGTGTTTCCTTCAAAACAACCTAAAGGGATCTGTGTTGTTTGTTGTAGTATGCAGATAGGTATTTCTTAAGTACTGTCAAGATTGCAAGATGCAAGACCGAGAAATGTGGCCGGAACGTTGTGTTTCTCGAGGCTCGGAGGAGGCTGGTGCACAAAGAAACACTTGTACTGGTATGGAACAGCAGCACCGCCACTAGAACGGTGGTGAAAGAAAGACTCTAATTAACAACAGTGACGAACAATCCGTCGTCCTTTTTTTTTTTCTTACACTTTCGGAATATTGAACCCACAATCGAGTAATCTTGGGTTAAGATATATTTTGACCCCATTAGTGAGTAATTTTTTAAACGAAGAGATAAAGTGTTCGATGAATTGCCTCTGTGACGTTTTTCATCACTCCCCACATTATGACAAATATTTAGCTCCGCCACTCTGTAGGTATGTTTGAAACTCTAACCTCAAGAGTAGGGTCGAACACGATCCTACGGTTGAAGTTAGACGTGTGCACGCAGGTGAACTAGAATTACTTTTTACAATCATATGTTTGAGTTATATATGTGTTTGGGCCCAAAATAGCAGTTTGGGCCGAGGGAAGAATCACTCTCGGCCCGGGAAGCCGTACAGCGAAAGGGTCATGGAGCGTTCAGCTCATGGGCTTCCAAGCCTAGGTCGGTTAAATCAGAATGCAAGTCGAGTCCTAGTACAATAGGGACTCTCGACGAGATCAATAAACTAGAAAGCGAATCCGGCTCAGTTAAGGACTAGATTCGTAGTCCTAGCGGAGATAGGACTGATCGAGGTAATATTAATCCGGAGAAGGAAACCTAGTTCGAATAGGATTGGAACTCGGGCTCGGTGTTCTGCTACTATAAATACAAGACATTCAGCAACGGGAAAGTCCCCTGCAAATCAACACAAAATTGCCCTGCGCAAATTCTCACAACTTGTGATTTTTCTTTTTCCTTTTTCGCTGACACATCTTCCGTTGGCATCAACAGCACTGTGGAAGCAACCGGTGATATCTTAAGTCGGCATAGATAGCTCTGTCACCGTAGAATCAGTCGGTCTCGCAGTATCTTCCGTTGGCATCAACAGCACTGCGGCGAGAACGATTGATTATCTATCCAAGTCTCGGTCGAGAAGGATTTCTGAATCCTTGTTGGTTGAGGTCATCTCATCAGCCTTCTCGGCGAAGTGAGGTGTTACAAGTGACTACATTCGGCACGTTGAAAGCCGAATTTGATATTGAGCTTCGTAAAAATAGTAACCTTGTCTTCAGGTTCGAGAGCCCAAGAGGCCGAGACGTGTTCCTTTCTCGGCCGCAATCGCAAGACGCAGAAGTCAGTAGCGCGACCTAACGCAACATCAACAAATTTACTCCTCGGCCGAGCTCGGCCGATGAGTTGGCACGCCCCGCATTCACCGAAGGACGTAGTTAGCTCATTAATTACTCGGCCTGCGCGCCACGTAGGCTTTGTAGTTTCTAGGGTCAACATTTTGGCACGCCCAGTGGGACCCAGTGCTAAACTACGAAGTTCATGCCAATTGAAACACGATCGGTAAAAAAGAAAACAGCTATGGGAAAGTCGACAGCCGATTTGCCGAGTCAGAGCATAGGACAGAGTGTGCCACAGGCGCAGAATCCCCTTAGCGCTGCGACACCTGAGTCCACGAGCGCGACTCGCCGAGAGAGAGAAGTTAATCTCGGCGGTCAACTCTGTGGCTTAGAGATCCCTAACAGAAACACATGCGTTCTCAATGAAGGGATAATAGAGGAGTGTGACGAGGATGGTAGTGAAGGATCTGACCCACCAACGAGGTCGTTTCTCCGAAAGCGACTGGACGAGCAGTCTCGGTCAGTCGAGCAGACGTTCAGTCGAGGCATTGACAAGCTGCATGACGCGATACTCAGTGCCAATGATCGACAAACCAAGCTGCTCGAAATGCTGGTTAGTAAAGTTGGTGGCAGTAGGCCTTTCGAGCTTCTCCAACATTGTCCACCAGGAAACAATCCGGTACCGATTGTACCGGTCGAGCCTATTCCTGCCCGGCTAAAACCGATTAACTTGGAAAAAGGAGGAGGGTCGAATAGTAGGTCAGACGGAACCGACCAGAGGGTCGAAGCAACACCTATTGATATGACCGAGGTTCAGCGGATGATCGACTCGGCCATGAAGAAAGGGCCGAAGTTTCCCAAGTTTATTCATCCGTACCCAGCTTACGTGGAAACGTTTGGATACCCGAAGGGTTTCAAGATCCCAGATTTTAGTCTTTTTGCCGGTGAATCGTCCTTATCTTCGTTGGAGCACGTGGCTCGTTTCACCGCGCAATGCGGAGATATGAATAGCGACTTTCATAAGTTACGGCTGTTCAATTTCTCATTGACCGGCTCGGCATTTGCTTGGTACATTAATCTACCCCCCAATTCCGTCCAGAACTGGGAAGAGTTGGTCGAGAAATTCCACGAGCAGTTTTATCGACCAGGGATGGAGATGTCAGTTTCTTCGTTAGCAAGGATGGCTCAGGCATCTGATGAATCACCAATGGATTATCTTACTAGGTTCAAATCAGCCAGGAATTGGTGCCGAGTGCCTTTACCCGAAGTCGAATTTGTCAGGCTTGCTTTGAACGGCCTCGACGTCGAATACAAAAAGAAATTCCTGGGGGCAAATTTTCGTGATATGTACGAATTAGCCCAACATGTCGAGCAATACGATTATTTGCTCCGTGAGGAAAAGATTTCGAAGACTCCAACTCGGGGGACGATTTACAAGAATCCTACTGTTAATTATGCATCAACCGAGGATGAATGCGTTAGTGTGGATGCGGCTGAGATAGTGATAGATAAGCCATACGTTTGCAAGGCATTGACTCAGGTTGATTCTAGAGAAGCCAAAAGTCGCTCGGCCACTGAAGGAACATTGAAACCGTCAAAGGTTTATACTTTTGATATTACCAAGGCTGACGCAATTTTTGACCAACTGTTATCAGCAAGAATCATCAAGCTTCGGCCTGGTCATAACATTCCTAAGGCCGAAGAACTTAAAGGAAATGTGTATTGCAAATACCACAATTCGAGCAAACATACGACAAACAATTGCGTTGTATTTCGCGATAACGTCCAAAGCTGGATTGATAATGGCAAACTGAAGTTTCCTGAGAAGAAGATGAGTGTTGATACTGATCCGTTCCCCACGGCAACAGTAAATATGGTCGACGCGTACCTACCCAAGGACAAAGGGAAAGGCAAGGCCGAAGTGGTTGAGACGCAACACCCGCAAAGTCAGAATTGTCGGCCACGATTCATGGCCGATTTTCGTTCAAACAAGCCACCTACGGCTTTAACGGGGCCTGCTATTGTCAAACCTATGATGGATTATAGCACCGGTAAAGATAGTGGGGCGGCGGTTTTATGCGGGAAATGTAGAGCGAAGGTCGACAGTGAACCAGAGGAGAAGCCCTCTTCGCAACTTGTGGCCACAACTCGGCCAAAGGTAGCCAATGAAGGCCAACATCATGGAGTTTTTGAGAGGCTCGGTCCTAAAGTACGGATGGAAGAGACACCCCCGGTCAGGCGGCGCCTCGATTTTGATGCTTCATTCTATGATGACGATTACTATAAGCGTAATTCTAGCAGTTCAGAATCATCGCGGAGCCAAAAGACCTTTAAGCCTCCCGAGCCTAGAGATCAACGTTGGTATACATACCATTCTTCGAAGGGCGTCTACACCGCGTTGTCCAAATCTCAGAAACGCCGGCATCAACGGATAGATTGCATGGCTCGCCGACGAGCAGCCCAGGAAACTTCGGCCCCTAAGTGGCGGCCAAAGGACACAGCTGCCACTGATGATGAGCGACCACCTCCAGTAATTATGACAGAGTTGGCTCAAGGGAAACGGCTGGTCGATCAAGATGTCGAGACCATGTTTGAAGAAGCTGATAAACGGATCAAACTTCTCATTCGACCAGGGGAGATGAAGGCACGCCTTGAACATTTCAGGCAAGAGGCCGAAAGCAAATTATATCCACCGGCTATACTAGAACCTTTGGTCAAAATTCGACGGAATTTGCATCCCCCGTTCCTTGGGGAGTCTTTGGAGTATATGCGAGAATTTCATAAGAAACATTCGGCCAACGATCTGTATGGTTTGCCGAAGGCATGCCAAGACACCATTGATCTGGTCCTGACTTGTCCGGATGCTGAGCGGATCATCCAGAAGACCTCAGATCCAGGATTGAAAGCAAGGTTCCAGCACATCCGAGAAGCTCGTGTCTTTGGATTTGAAGTCGACCCATACACCGATATCAATGCAGCCGACCTTCCTTTCTCGCTGGAGGACCTTCAATATTTGCGATATCACTTTGAAGTATTTTCAGCAGTTTCTCTCTTCGGCCTTACGACCACAGAAGAAAATATTGATAATATCGGCGAAATATCGCCGATATTATCGTTTTTTGGGGACCCCGATATTTTAGTAACTATCCAACTAGTTTTCGGCATAATATCGCGATATTATCGATATTATCGATAATATCGCGATATTTTCGAAACTATCGCGATATTTGGTATGGACTCGTCGGAGAACACGGCCGGAGCAAATAATCCGAAACCCTAAATCCCCAAATGCTAATTTCCAGCCTAATGAACTGAATCTACAATACAGGATTCCGACAAGAACGATTTCATTACAAAAATCAACATGTTTACAAGCCGAGAAGAACGATTTGAGTACAAAAATCAAAGCAAATGAACCGATCCCTAAATCCCCAAATTCGGATTCAAAGCAACTGAACTGAATCCCTAATTCCTAAATCCCTAAAATCTATTTCAGTACAAAAATCAAGCAACATGCAGATAAATCGCAATCTGTACAAAAATAGAACCCTAATTCCTAAATCCCTAAAATCAATTTCAGTACAACAAAGGTGTGCAACATGCAGAAAAATTGAAATCTTTACAAAAATTTAAAGTAATAGAGGGGAAGAAGAGAAGTAGGAGCCTGGAACATCGTCTTCCTCACGAATCCAAGACGGCTGGGACAAGTTCGTGGTCCTCAGTGGTGTCGACGGCTTGGACTACGGAGACAGAGGGAGACAGGGAGACACGGAGACACGGACGGTTAAGGAGTGGTGTCGACGGCTGGGTTTAGGGCGGGTGAGATGGGAGGAGCAGAGGGAGACAGGGAGACACGGAGACACGGAGACACGGACGAGGACTGAGAACTTCTCGGTGATGATGTCTCTGTGTGTGTGTGTGGAAGAAGTGGAGAAGGGGGAAGGGAGGGAGAAGACTGAGAACTTCTCGGTGAGAACGAAGGCTCAGACCGACCTCAGAGAGAGAAGAGAGAAGAGAGAGACTGAGAGGATTCGGGAATAGGG